ACACACTCTCACACACGCACACACACACACACACACACACACACACTGCGTTCAGAAGATGAAGCACTCTCTTCCTCTGCCCCCTGTTGGCACGGCAACATGCCAGCAGAACAGACGGCCCAGCTTGCATGCAGACCGAGAGAGACCCTCTCAATGTCACCGTGACAACCTGCTCACGAGAACTTTAGATCAACACAAACACAACACTGCTGTCTCTTGTCAAAAGCAGACGAGGGTTTTACATACGGCCGGGTTAAAGGTCACCAATGTTCATGCATGTGTTCACAAAGTAAAAGTGTATGTATTTACTTGTTTTTAGACTTTAGTTGGAGTAAACGAGAGCATATTTTAATTGTAGATCAGATAGTGATGCTCTGAACGGTGTGTTTTAAATGTGATGTTATATATATTATTAAAGGTGAACTAAAGAGGTTACATTATGGAAAGTAACGTGTTTGCTTCAGTTTTGTTCTACACTGCAAAAAATGATTTTTTTTAGTATTTTTTTTATTTACTTGAGAAGCAAAATGACTTCAGATATTAAGTCTTATAAACAATTATTGAAAAAAGTATCAAAAGTAAGTGAGTTTGTGATTAAATCAAGAACAAACTTCTGCCGGTGGGATCAGAAAAAGAAACAATTCAAAGAGAAAACTAGTTTATTTTTTATTACCATTCTGACAGATATTTGTTCTTGTTTTAAGCATAAACTCATTAAATTTTGATACATTTTTTAGAGAAATCTGCACAGATCAAGCAACATTTAAACAGCTCTAAACAAATATGTGGCTGAATTTTGATACGGCCGGGTTAAAGGTCACCAATGTTCATGCATGTGTTCACAAAGTAAAAGTGTATGTATTTACTTGTTTTTAGACTTTAGTTGGAGTAAACGAGAGCATATTTTAATTGTAGATCAGATAGTGATGCTCTGAACGGTGTGTTTTAAATGTGATGTTATATATATTATTAAAGGTGAACTAAAGAGGTTACATTATGGAAAGTAACGTGTTTGCTTCAGTTTTGTTCTACACTGCAAAAAATGATTTTTTTTAGTATTTTTTTTATTTACTTGAGAAGCAAAATGACTTCAGATATTAAGTCTTATAAACAATTATTGAAAAAAGTATCAAAAGTAAGTGAGTTTGTGATTAAATCAAGAACAAACTTCTGCCGGTGGGATCAGAAAAAGAAACAATTCAAAGAGAAAACTAGTTTATTTTTTATTACCATTCTGACAGATATTTGTTCTTGTTTTAAGCATAAACTCATTAAATTTTGATACATTTTTTAGAGAAATCTGCACAGATCAAGCAACATTTAAACAGCTCTAAACAAATATGTGGCTGAATTTTGATGTGAGAGACAACAGGAGATGCACTTTTTCACTGGAGGAAGCGTTATTATGCAACATACAGGTGGTTTCATTCTGTTATGTTAATAATTATAACAAAATATTTTCAATATATAAACACAATTCTCATTTTTACAGCAACATAATGTAAATTCAAGTAACTTTAGTCGTAATCTGATGGTGTAACACACATAATCTGTAACATGCCCTAACTTGCTTCACTTTTTGATTGTGTTGCATTAAAAAAGGCATCTATTCTGAAGATTTAGATCTATTATTGTTGTACTGGAGAAGAGAAAGGACTAGGAGCCATCCGTCCTGCAAACCCTCTCATGTGTGCCGAATCAAACAATACATTATTGATGAAGAGAAAGATTCCTACTTTTAGGATTGTTTTATGTCTGGACAAATTGTACTGGAACATTCTAAAAATATAGATTTATTTGATATTCTGTATTTTCAACAGCCACAATGAGCATTCACATACTTTGTATCTCCTGGTTTATGGTACATTTATTCTTTGTTTTACAAGTGGCAGTGCACATTAATTACATTTAAATACTAATTATCATCTGCAGTCCCTAGCAGGTTGATGGTAAAAAGTACATATGTTTACATTTAGCAAAACAATGATATGATCACATACATTAAACATAACAGAGTCATGTAAAACACAGGTTTTATGTTTTAGGTGGAACCAAAGTAACTTTCCTTCGCCTGCTTTTTCACAGTCATCTGCTGTGTTTTATTTATTTTTTTATGTCAGTGTCACTGATGACCGCCTCGTCTCTTCTGTCATTTCCCTGTTGAAACTATTTTGAGTGTTCGTTCCCTGAGTGTGTCTTGTCAGGAAGCCGCGGCGCTCCGTTCACACCTGCAGCAGTGTTTCACGGTGCACCGTCCTGATAATTACACTGCTCCTGCAGGACACCGTCCCACCACACACACACACTCACACACACACACACACACTCACACTCACACTCACACTCACACACACACACATATATATATATATATATATACACACACACACATACACGTACACATACACTCACACACTCACTCTTACACACAAACACACTGCAGCTGAAGGTGACATTAAAAAAAATCTCAAAATATTCTCAACAAGCAGCTATTTATAGTTGAAGAAAAGGACACATTGGTGTCGAAGCAGAAGAGGGAACATTGAAATGTAACCGAGAGCGTTTCAGAATCAGATACCGATGTTTATTCAGACTCTTCCTCGTCTCTACATCCAGAAACAAACAGACTGACAAACAACATTCACTGTGTGTTTTACCTTCAACAGAAAACATCTTTAATATCTTGTTCAATTGAATTTCATTGCATTAATGTGTGAAATATTCCTTTAAAAACGGATGCATTGTTTATGTTGTTTACGCTTTGATCTGAACATAAACAAAGTTTTCTTTGCACACAAAAAGTATTCTCGTAGCTTCATAAAATGACGGTTGGACTGCTGATGTCACATGGATTAATAATCAATTAAATGAAGCTGTCAAAAGGTCTTAAATACAATTTCTACACCTTTTACATTTTTTTGAACATGTCATACCAAATTCAATACGTTTCTAAAGTTTCTTTCTTCTGCTGAGCACAAAAGAAGATATTTTGAAGAATGTTGGTCAACAAACAGTAGCTATTAAAGGAGTCATGAACTGAGAAACCAAAATTCCCTTGATCATTGTATTATAAAAACATCCTGTAAGTTTCAGAACTCAAAACTTTCTCGTTAGTCTAAAACCAGCTTATATTGAAGCCGATCTGCCAAAACAACAGCTCGTGGAATGCTCTACTCTATGATGTAATAATGTGGATAAGTGCCACTTCCGCAGATCAACGTCTGCTTCTACATCACTGCCTGCTTAGCCCCGCCCATCGATTCTACATCACTGCCTGTTTAGCCCCGCCCACCGATTCTACATCGCTGCCTCTTTAGCCCCGCCCACGGAATCTACATCAATGCCTGTTTAGCCCCGCCCGCCAATTCTACATCAATGACTGTTTAGCCCCACCCACCGATTCTACAGCACTGCCTCTTTAGCCCCACCCACCGAATCTACATCAATGCCTGTTTAGCCCCGACTGCCAATTCTACATCAATGCCTGTTTAGCCCCGCCCACCGATTCTAAATCAATGACTGTTTAGCCCCGCCCACCGATTCTACAGCGCTGCCTGTTTAGCCCCGCCCGCCAATTCTACATCACTGCCTGTTTAGCCCCGCCCACCGATTCTACATCAATGACTGTTTAGCCCCGCCCGCCAATTCTACATCAATGACTGTTTAGCCCCACCCACCGATTCTACAGCACTGCCTCTTTAGCCCCACCCACCGAATCTACATCAATGCCTGTTTAGCCCCGACTGCCAATTCTACAGCACTGCCTCTTTAGCCCCACCCACCGAATCTACATCAATGCCTGTTTAGCCCCGACTGCCAATTCTACA